TACAGATATATATATATATATATATATATATATATATATATATATATATATATATATATATATATATATATATACATAGATGCTGACTTAAGTGCGATTTATTACTTTTTCCGAATATTACGTTGCATCCAGCTCTTGTTTCTAGTTACCCTCAAGCGTAATTGGTGCAGGAGGATTTAGATAGCGGCGCTTATAAGCTAGAATATAATGTAGAAACAAAGAAGTGTACATTTCAGGCTGAAACAATAATGCATTCCAAATATTTGCAGGCCGAAATCAAAAAACGCTATGGTCTCGACGCAACAGCAGTGGGTGATGAAGGTGGTTTCGCCCCTAATATTCAGGATAACAGGGAAGGTCTTGATTTGTTGAATACTGCGATTGCAACGGCTGGATACACGGGAAAAGTAGCGATCGCCATGGATTGTGCTGCATCCGAATATTATAAGGTAAATATTAAATTAATGGTAGCATATCGAAATATTAGGGAGATTTGCAACATTCATAAGTATGCTGCATCATTTGTCATGAATAGCATCAATGGAATAATCTTTCAGGAAACGGATAAGCTATACGATTTAGATTTCAAAAATCCCAATTCGGACAAAGCCCAGTGGAAAACTGGTGATCAAATGATGGAAATTTATCAATCTTTCATTAAGGTTTCAATTCCAGAAGTTGTTAAATGAAATGTCAAATAAAGAAATTGCATGTTAAACACTACGGCTCTTACGGATCGTTTTCAGTTGTATTTTAAACCGTCTGCACAGGAGAAATATACAAATAGTTATAGTAATCTGGTTCAATTGAAGGATATTTTAATATAAGCCTTTCAGGAAAAGAATATAGTTTTATTCACATGATGATAAAATATACCTAGAATTTCGTCCCATAATTCCTTCATAAATTGAAATTAATTCCATTGTGGTCCTCTTCCAGGAATATCCAGTCGTGTCAATTGAAGATTGGTTTGATCAAGATGATTGGGACAACTGGACCAAAGCGTTAGCCAATACCCATATTCAGATTGTTGGCGATGACTTAACTGTTACGAATCCGAAGAGAATTGCGTTGGCTGCTGAGAAGAAAGCTTGCAACTGTCTTTTGCTCAAGGTTGCCTGATTGATTTTATTAAAATTATACGAAATGACAAAGAATTCCTCTAAGAACATTTCTGTGGAATATTTTTGTCTTTTTCCTGTTATTTTGCAGTTTGCATTTTAAATCACATCTAACATTTAAATATAGGTAAACCAAATTGGTTCCGTCACCGAATCAATTGATGCGGCTAATTTAGCTCGTAAAAATGGATGGGGTGTGATGGTATCGCATCGTTCAGGCGAAACCGAGGATACATTTATCGCAGATCTCGTTGTTGGCCTCGCTACTGGACAGGTTTGGTACTTCTGTTCAATTTGCTAATTTTTCTTTTTTTTAAAAAATAGAAGTTCCTTTATCGTTTTTTCGTCAGTCTCCACTTTTGTCGGTAAGCATTTCTGATGTCTGGAAGAATATCTGGATACGTGGATTGAAAGCTTTGTTTGATGTAGAAGTTTGTGATAGAAAGTTTCAGTGGTTTAACATTTAGGAGTGCTTAGATGTATAAGGAAATTTTTTAAAGTGTCAAAGTGGTAACAGCTGATTTAATAAATTAAAAATTTTTTTTCGGCTTTCCCAATATCGACTTCTGTTAATTCTGTATTTCCCTCTAAATCATTCTGCATATTCTTTCCAACTGGTGTTGTGAGTGTAGTTGCACTGCATTTTGTTCAAGATATGAATTGCAGATTAAAACTGGAGCACCATGTCGTTCGGAGCGCCTTGCCAAATACAATCAGATACTTCGTATTGAGGAAGAACTTGGGTCAGCTGCAATTTATGCCGGTCAGAAATTCCGGAATCCTCAAGCATAGATTTAAAAAAAATAAGCTTTGATGAAATAAAGTAATATATCACGTTTTAACTAAGCAATTTGTCCCAGATCCCTTTCATTAGTACTATTAGTTGTTATGCCATGCAGTGATAATAGCTATCCGCGTGTTAATTAATTTAAATTAATTTTGAACTGTTTGTCGTTGTTTCTAGTTTGGATTATAGCTTTCTCGTGCTTGTCTGAATCAATTTATATGAAAATTGAGGTTGGTGTTATGGAATAAAATCTTTTTCTTTTGATCCCTTTACAGAATATCAAAATTAAAATCATGATTAAAGAGGACAAAGCAGTCATATGGGACTGATACAAGTTTTACAATCATGAATAGATGCAAGATCCTGTGGCACTATGATGTTTCATAACCGTAAAAATTTCAAAAAATTTGTATTTGGGATTAAAGGGTTGTAGATCATTTGTGGGAAGTTGGAGTTTTGTTAAAATAAAGCAAAGAAAGAAATAACCAAACAAACAGTAACAAGATTCTAAGAAGTTGGATTCAAGACTATGTGCAGGTAGTGCTTTTATTTTGAATATTCAGTCATCAATAGGAGCGTTCAAGTAGTATGTATGACAATATGTTATTTTTAATTCATTGATTTCTTCACTTTTACCTTCATTTAATTATCAAATGCTATCATATAATCATTAAAATTCCAGAATTGCTTTTCACATGTGTGATATTCGTCATAAATTTAATCATTTATACAACAATTTAGTAAAAACGAAAAAAAAATGGGAATATTACACATGATTTTCTTTCTCTTACCCTGTCATTTCAATAAATATAAATTAATTGTCTTAACATTCATGCCAGTTGACACAACATTGTGACATTAACCAAAACCGGTTATTAATATTATTAGCTTATCAATAAATGTATCAAAAATCAAAATAAAAAAGAGGAAACAAAAATGAGGTAATAATTTTGCAAAAAAATGGAAGTTTTTCTACTCTTTTTCCTCTTTCTTTCATTAATAGTTCTTCGCATTTTCTTTTCTCTAAAAAAAAAAAAAAAAAAA